AGCTGGAGCTCAGTCAGGAAAGTGGATTGTAATCTAGGCTTTGACATTGGTTTCTATGTGACCTTGGGCAAATCATTAAAGGAAGCAGTCCCCAAACTTTTCATGGTCATGCCCCTCCTTTCCCCTGTCTGCACCGCATTCTTTATGTCCACGTCTACAACTGTATTCACAAAAATGAGCTGCAAATATCCGTGGATTTGCAGGGCTTTACAGATAGGAATTAGAAAAACAGAGAATGTTCTTAAGATATTATTATAGTAAAATGTGCATAAATGAGTGATCATATTTTATAGGGGAGGAAATAAAACCCAAAAGGGGCAAAGTGTTGAAAAGTAAACTGATCTTGAAAATGGAAAAAAAAAAATCCAGCGTGCCTCCAGCCTTTCTCAACTCCTATAATCACCTGCCTTCCTCTCCTTTCTTTTAAACCTTCCCTCATGCCCCATCCCTTTTATAGATCAGAAGATTGTTTCCCTCCACAGTCACTAAAATACATTTTTTGCTTATATTGCATTTCATAACTGAATTGGGAATGAGGGGCTAGGAATGTTACAATGTCAGCAATGTGAAGACAAATCGTGTGATACAGTCTGAGACTATAAACCTGGCTGATATTTGGAGGTGGAGAAAAAGAGGGAGGCGAGGAACAAGGAAGGCATATTATGAGTTAAAAATTAGATTAATTAATTAAACTTCTTAAAAGCGCTTTCCCTTTTCAGCACTTTTCTGTGTGTATATTGTGAAGTGTTACTTTACTGTAGCTGAAAGAAGAGGGACGATTAAGAAGTATCTTTGTTTTGAAAATGCTGAGCAGTGGAGTCAATTAAAGCAGCGACGTGATCACAGACAGAGCCTAATTAGACCAGAGATCTGCAATTTCACAGGCAGTGTAGTTCAGAAACAATCCGATCATTATGCAAACCTCTGCCTTTTGATTGGTTAACTGTTTGGATTAATCAACTAATGCGTGCCTACAGATCACTATATTCTACCATTTTTATATATATATATATATAGAGAGAGAGAGAGAGAGAGAGAGAGAGAGAGTACAGGTTGGACCTCCCTGGTCCAGCGCCCTCAGGTCCGTGATGAAGAATTTTCCTAGACCAGGGAAGGTCATTTCTGGCCCTCTCCACCACCAGTCCCCCCAGCCATGGCTTTGCTACCAGCCTCCCATCCAGCTTTCCCCTGCTGCCGGCCCCTCAGCGCAGTACTCTCAGCCCCACCGTGGCAGCCCTGCCACCACAAGCACAGACTTGCTGCCGGGCTCCTGGTCTCATGGGGCAGCCCCACTGCTGGAGTTCAGCTGTGCTGCCAGGCTGCAGCCCTGCTTGGGCTTCAGCCTTTTGGGGCAGCCCTGCTGCCTCCCAGTCTCACCTGGCAGCTCTGCCAGGCACAAGCCCCACTTCCAGATTCCTGCCCTCACCACCAGGCAGCCTTGGGCTCAGGCTCCTGGCTGCATGAGGCAGCCCCGCTGCCTCCCAGTTCCGCCACACAGCTGGGAGCCCTGCATCCATATGTGGATATATAGCAAATCAGTCAGTGCCGGGTTCCCAGCTCCACCGCTGGGCAACCCCACTGCCTCCTGGTCTTGTTGGGCAGTTTTGCTGCCAGGCTCCAGCACACTAGGCAGCCCTAATGCCTCCCGGTCCCCTGGCGCACTCTCCCTGCAGTGTCGCCACAGGGTCAGCCCTGCTCTTAGGCTCCCAGTTTCACTGCGACAGGGCAGCCCTTCTACTGGTCTCCAGTCCTGCTGCAGGGCTCCCAGCTACCAGCCCTCCATGGGACTCTCTGGTCCTGGAATATCCCTGGTCCTTGTGGGGCAGGGATGTAACCAGACCAGAGAGTCCAGTTAAGAGGGGTTCAATCTGTAGTGCAAGTTAGACCTATAACCAGAATACAGAGAATAGAATAATTGAGAAAATACAGAGTTATGCATCAGAGAGTTGATAGCCTCTCTCATGCTCACTGAAACAATTCTATTTCAGTAGAATATTCAAGTGTGAGGTTCTGTTTTCATTACTGAGTCTTGTTCATACCTGTGGGTAAATAAAATTACAACCAACATGTTCCATACCACAGGGCTCCCGCTATTTCCACTTTATAAAATGGTGGCTATTTCAGACTGCTTTGAGGTGTGGTAATTTTGGTGGAGATGCATTATGGACAGGGCTTAGGAGGTAATATGCAATTTATCACATGTAGCATTTCCAGTGCCAAGCATTCATGAATTAGATATCAAAAAGTGTGAGGTTGGCTAAAAACCAGGAGACTCTAAACATAAGAAATGCTACTTTTGAGGGTTTTGAGCTTGTAGGGTTCATGTTTTCAAGTGTGTATAAATGGAGCCTCCTTTTTTTTTTTAAAGGTAAACTGAGATTCTCCCCCACTGACCTATTCCAGGGATCTGGGGCTTTAAGAAAAACATCAAATATTGTGAGACTCTTTATATAATTGTGAGAGTTGGCAACAATGCACATGTCACTGAAATAGAGTATCAGGCACCATTACATTTCTGATGTATGGATGTTTTCATATTTACGTGTGTATAAACTGTGTATATGTGTTTATATATGTAATATAATTAAATGTTAATAGAATTCCTAAAGTGTTTAAGTGATAAAGTAAGTTGACTGCTTATTACCATTGTTAGACATAGTACTATTCTGTTTCTCTATTGTATTTCCAGTTCAATATAGTTATTTGATGCCAAGTGTATTAGGAGCAATTTATAGTGAGACGGAGCTGGGTCTCTCTGAATTTATAATCTTATGTTCATCTTCCATACATTAAAGGCAAAAAATCAGCTACATGTGTATGGCAGAGATATGCATTACTGAACTGCTATAGTCACCCAGCTCTTGCCTTGAAACTTTCAGAAATCCTTTGGACTTTTTTCTCTGCAGGATTGCGCCTTTTGTTTTCATTTATACCTTTGTACGGTGGGTATAAATGGCCACAAAATCAGAATTCCCTACTGACTCATAGTGATGGTTTACTTTACAGGGGGTGAATGAGGGGCAAAGAGGTGGAGAAACAGGCTTCTTGGGTTTGCATGTTGTTGTTCATATGTTTGGCCTGATGCATGGGATCTTATATGCTTGTCCACAAACCAAAATGCAGTGGGTTAACTGAAGGTGTGATTTTAAAGTTCATTTAGCTAAACTCGTGCCAAATCAATTTAGCTAAACTCGTATAGACATTTTGAGTTTGGTTTAAACTACGGATGTGAAAGGTTAACTGTGTGTCCTGAGCTGTCCCTGTCTGCAGTGGCTTGTGTGCGTCAAAGGCAGGTGCTATTCTGGGCATCCGGAGCAGCCGGCTGTGTATGGCAGGTTCTGGGTGGCAGGCATGGGCTGCTGCAGCCCATCGGGGGGCAGATATTACTCCAGTGCAGCTTTGCTGGAGCACTTCCCCTTAATTGGTTAACCAGTTAAATGGGATTTTACATCCCTAGTTTAAATCAGACTTATTTGGGTTAGCCTAAGGCCTGATCTACACTTGGAATTTACATTGGTGTAGTGCATCTCTCAGGGGCACATGAAAAATCTACACCTCCTGAGAGGAATAACTCTACTGAACTAACTCCCAATGTAGACAGCACTAGGTTGACAGAAGAATTCTTTCATCCTCCTCCTACTCAGGGAGCTGGATTATCTATACCAACAGGAGAATTCCAACCATCAGCATAGGTAGTGTCTATACTGAAGCTTTACAGCGATTCAGTAGTGCAAGTGTAGTGTATTAGATATAAACCAGCCCTAAATTGATTAGAAACACATATAAGTTAAAGCGAAATAATCTGCTCTTAAACCAAAACAAAGTGTGTCCGTACAGGTGTTTAACTGAATTGGTTTAATTAAATAGATGCAAGTTTGTGTGTAGACAGGGCCTTTCTTCATAGTTTGTAATGTTTTTGCTGCACCTGTGTTTTGTGTTCCCTTTCTGAGAGTATTTTAG